GCTTACTCACACACAAGACTTAAAAATGAACAGTGCCCTCCCTTTAGCCACACTCCCTACTACACACACCCACTCTCATATTCAACACTTGTTGTAGTATCTCACCCCTCCTCTCCCAGGAACGTGACATAGAGCTTGTTCCTCTGCAGCTCTTTGCGGGAGTACGCCATGACTTGGTTAAAAGTTCCTTCCAGCAGGTGTTCTCTCCGGATCAACAACCTACAGGCATCATCACAATACATCAGGCTTTAACTACTTTAGGTAAAAAAATTTCAAAAATTCTGCCACGTCGATGAACCCATGTTAATCTTTGACACTGGATAAAAGCTTTTTTTATTTCCAAATACTTTCCGATAGGGATGTCCGATATTATGATACGTCGTTACGATTATGAATCGTACAAACACCTAATTTCCGATACCGATATCAACCGATACGGATACATGCAGCAGTTTGGGTAACAGGTGTACTACGTCACAATTATCATACTTCACTTTCACTTCAAATGTATTTTAGGTCACATTATCTAGGTGAAACCCAGGAATTGTGTTATCAGGTTTTCATTATCGGAGGAAAAATAACGATTCTTACCAATATTACATAATTATGCTAATATCGGTTGGCCGATAATATCGGACATCCCTACTTTCTAAATATTTCTCAAATAATTAATATACAGTACAGGCTTCTTGGATGTGGTCTTACCAAAACATTTCCTTTTTATAGATAAGTTTAAGATATTTGTGTTTAAAAAAAGAGCTGGGTAATATGGTTCAAATATCCAGAGTCTTTAAAATCCCTGATAATGCTTGAATTCCAATGTTGTGTTTTCAAGGTTTGAAATGTTTGGATGTTTGGATTTTGCGTGCTTGTAAATGCTTAATACATTTTTGACCATATTTGACCATGAAAACCAAATTTGAACACTACTACTGCACTTGTTGGAACTGTTGAAAGTGAAGGAGGAGACTTTTTTCTTATTCTATGTTGCATATAAAAATATATAGTTATTGAGTTGGTTTCGCCAGGTACCTTGCAATATGATACTCTCACCATATTTTCTCCACGATAACAATATTATATATATATATATACATATATATATACATATATACATATATACATATATATATACATATATACATATATATACACATATATATGTATATA